TTCTCTCGATAAAGCAGGTGGATGTGGATGAGGCCATAGATGTATTGTGAGAGAGAGATGAAAAAATGAGAAGAGGTTGCAGAAGCAATTTTTATTAAAACAAAAACAAGCCTTATCTCACTAAGTTGGATTGGCTATATGAATCCTTTTTCTCTATTGTGTCTTATTGAGTGTCATATTTTCATTTAATTTTAAAAAATTAAGATCATTTTTTATACAACATGCCCCGGTCTTTTTAGGTCTACCTCTGTTTTTCTTAACATATGATGAATCTAAAACATCTACCTTCCTAATGAGATCATCATATGGTCGACGTTTAATGTATCCAAACCATCTAAGACGACTCTCTCTATTCTTATCTAAAATTGGAGCTACACCAACCCTTTCACAGATAGATTTGTTTCACATGTTGTCTATAAATGTGAAGTTACTCATCCACCTAAGCATTCTTATCTCAACACCACGTAACTTTATTTTATGCTTCTCTTTTAAAGGCCAACATTCTGCAACATAAAGCATTTTAGGTCTCACCACCATCTTATAAAATTTTCTTTTAAGTCTAAGTGGTACTTTTCTAGCACACAATAGGCCTGATGTATTCCTCCACATCAACAAACCAACCTGAATTCTACTACTAACATCTCCATCTATATCAATATCACTTTGACCTGAGATATCTAAAACGTTCACACCTTTTAATGATTCGATCACTCATAGTTACAACTCTGCCAATAGAGCTACTCATACTAAAATAACATGACATGTATTCAATTTTAGATCTACTCAAACGAAAGCCTTTAGACTCCAATGTAGACCTCTATAATTCAATATAATTTCAAGTTTTTTTCCTGAATTCCTTCTCTAGTCTTATCCGCAAGAAGGATATCATCACTGAAAAGCAAAAACCAAGGTAAATCCTCCTGTATATGAACAGTAAGAGCATTATGTATAGTAAGGGCATCCATAATTAAAGCAAAAAAGCTATGGGCTTAAAATCGATCCCTCATGTAATCCAACTGAAATAGGAACATATTTGGTCAATCCATCTTCTGTTCGAACACAAGTAACTGCTCTAGTAGATATATCTTTAATGACTTTAATATAAATCATATCAACACATTTTGTTTCTAGAACTTTCTAACAAACTTCTCTTGGAACCTTATACAAGACTTTTTGAAATCAATAAAATTCATATGTAGTTCCTTTTTACTCTCTCTGTACTTCTCCATCAAACCTCTCAATAAATGTATAACTTCTAAAGTAGATTTGCCAAACTTATTATGAGAAATCTTTGTATCACGTCTTACCATATGTTCAATTGTCCTCTCTCAGAATTTTAAAGTATAACACATTAATCTAATTCCTCTATAATTTGCACATTCAAGTTAACATGCAATCAATGTTAATTAAACCCATTTAGGGTCTGTTTGGGGCAGCTTTTGCGTTTCAGGATAAGCTGCTTATCCTGAAATGCAGCCCGCGGGCCAGCTGCTGGGGTCAACCTTGGGTCTGCGTTTGTTCAATTGTCCTCTCTCAGAATTTTAAAGTATAACACATTAATCTAATTCCTCTATAATTTGCACATTCAAGTTAACATGCAATCAATGTTAATTAAACCCATTTAGACTTAAGTTCTACATAACAAAGCATTTATCCCGAAATGTTTCAGTAACACTAGTATTTAAAAATTTCTCATAACAATGCCACGGTATTAGCCTTGAACAAATATTTTATTTATTGGTATACTTAATTAAGCTAACCATGGGGAATATATTCTCACTTTTACCATTAAATGTGAGCATTCCAAGCTTTTGATAGACTGTAATAGAATTTGAGAAGAAGTTTTCAAAGGATCCACAATGTCCTTTACAAAGAGAGAGGGATACACATTAATCACAATTATGTGAAGAAGACAAGGTCACAAAAATTCCCCATAAAATGAGTATCTATCACCAGATAAAGAAAAACTACAAGATAATGTCCTACAAGAAGATTATAGATTTTAAAAAGAGAGGTATGCATTCAAAAGGATATTATATATCCTAGAAAGTAAGAAAATATATTCTTGTGATTACCTAGAGAACCAAATATTAGGAATTGTTATCCCTAGTTCATTTAAATCAACAACAACGATGACAAGCCTTTATCCCACTATGTGGGGCGACTACACTAATCCTTTTTCTCCGTTATGTCCTATTGAGTATCATATTTTCATTTAATTCTAATAAATTAAGATCATTTTTATACAATATGCTCAAAGTCTTCCTAGGCCTACCTCTGCCTTTCTTAACATATGTCAAATCTAAAATATATAATCTCTTAATCAGATCATTAGATGGACAATGCTTAATTTGACAAAGTCATCTTAAGCCGACTCTCTCTAATTTTATCCAACACTGGGGCTACATCAAACCTATAACAGTTATATTCATTTTGCATTTTATCTCTAAGTGTAAAGCCACTTATCCACCCAAGCATTCTCATCTCGGCAACACTTAAATTAGTCCTATGCTTCTCTTTTAAAGGCTAACATTCTGCACCATAGAGCATTGCAGGTCTTACCACCATCATATAAAATTTTCCTTTCAATCTAAGCAATACCTTTCTATCACACAATAAGCTTGAAACCTTTACTTCAACCAACCAACTTAAATTCTACTATTAACATCCCCATCTATATCACCATCACTTTGAACGATAGACCCAAGATATCTAAAGCATTCACACCATTTAATAATTTGATCTGCCATAGCTACAACTCGGTCACTAGAGCAATTGCTACTAAAATTAAATTCCATATATTCAATTTTAGTTCTACTCAAACTAATACCTTTAGAGTCCAAAGTAGATTTTCATAATTCAAGTTTTTCTTGAGCTCTTTTTCTAGTATCATCCACAAGGATATCATCAACGAAAAGCATACACCAATGTACATCTCTTATAATTGTTCAGTAAGAGCATCAATAACTAAACCAAAAAGATATGGGCTGAAGGCTGATCCTTGATGCAATCCAACTAAAATAGAAAAATATTTGGTCAATCCTCCTTTCATTCGAACACAAGTAGCATCTCTAGTATACATAACTTTACTGACTTGAATATAAGTTATATCAACATACTTCTTCTCTAGAACCCTCCAAAGAATATCTTTAGGAACTTTATCATAAGTTTTTTTTCTAAATCAATTAAAATCATATGAAAATCCTCCTTATTCTCTTTGTATTTTTCCATCAAACCTCTCAATAAATGTATAGCTTCCATAGTAGAGCTTCCCAACATAAATCCAAACTGATTATCAGAAATCTTTCCAATACGATCTATGTTCAATTACCCTCGCCCATAATTTTAATGTATGACACATCAACTTAGTTCCTCTATAATTTGCACACTCTTGTGCATCCCCTTTATTTTTAAAAATGGAGGCCGAATACTCTTCCTCCTCTCCTCAGGCATCCTTTTAGTTTTTAAAATAATATTAAAGAGTTTAGTAAGCCAATAAACTTTCAAATCTCCTAAATATTTTCAAACTTCAATTGAGATACTATCAGGTCCTACAGACTTTCCACAATTAGTTTTCTTTAAAGTCTTATCAACTTTTTTTTACACTATTGTGACTGTAAAAATGAAATATTTTATTATTATTAACGATATAAAGATCAACATGGTTGATCATATTTTCAGAAACTTACATTAAAAAATTTATTAAAATAACGCACCCATCTATGTTGAATATTTTTTTTAAAAAAAAAGTACTTTTTGATTTTCATCTTTAATACACTTTATTTAATATAAAACTTTACTTTTTTTTTCTCTTTATTTGTCCAGTTTATATATATATATATATAAGCTATTGTATGTAAACCAATTTTTATAACATAACTTCTTATATTTTACCTTTTCTTACACATTATTAATCCACAATTATTTTTTTTATTTATAGAAACTTTTTCTTTTGATTCTCCAAATACGTCTTTTGTCATTTGTTTAGTAGTGTTTGTTACTTTATCTCACATAGAATTTGTTTCATCATCATCCTAAATCTTTAAATCTTAAAGTTTACTCTTAAAAATAATTTTATTTGATTTTTAGATGCCCCCATCTAATTTCATGACAATAATTCCTAGTATTCTTTATTTTACAACTTTAATATTAAAATCCGAAACTAATAATCGATGTTTAGTATTTAAATTTTCATTTGAAATGACCTTATATTTTTTACATTCTCGACGATCTCTTCTTCTTATAATAAAATAATTAATTTGTGTTTTACTAGATTCATCCTTATAAGTAATAATATGCTCACATTTTTTCTTGAATAAAGTATTAGTAATAACAAAATCATACGCAAAAGTAAAATCTAATATGTCTCAAACTTCTTCATTAACTACTTCAAAATCGTTGCCATGATGGATATTTTAAAAATCTTCTACTACTCTACCTACATGTCTAATTAAATCTTGTCCAATAAATTTTTTTTTCTTCATGATGTATCATTTGTATTAGTTCTCTTAGGTCATTTCAAAATTTTCCTTTAGAACTTATATCTAAACCTATTTGAGAAGCATAAGCACTTATAAATTAACTACTCCAAAATCGTTGCCATGATGAATATTTTTTAAATCCTCTACTACTCTACCTACATGTTTATTTAAATCTCGTCGAATAATTTTTTTTTCTTCAAGGTGTATCATTTGTATTAATTCTTTTAGGTCATTTCAAAATTTTCCTTTAGAACCTATATTTAAACTTATTTGAGAAGCATAACCACTTATAATACTATAAATTTTAGTATCAACAACAATCTTAAGGGTTATAATTTTATCTCCAATTCTATTAATTTTTACAACGTTATATTTCAAACTCTTATCTATAATTACATCTACACAATTTTTATTGCAATTTTTCCCCGAATACTAAAGTTTAAAATATGAGCTATCAATCTCCTTAAGTTTTTCTCCAGCCCATTTAACTTTTTGAATACATAAGATATTTATCTTTTATGAATCATAATATCAAATAATTTCATTAATTTCCCTATGAGAGTACCTATATTCCAAGATCTTATCCTAATATTAATTTCATGGGCAAACTTATATACCTAAATCAGTCTGTAATATGAGAACACTTGTTTATTTGACACC